AGTTGGTTCTGAGTCATTGTTCCTCCATCAGAGGACAGTGGCCAACCTGGCCCTAGATTTCCATTAAAATGTCTCTGTGTTTTCTGTGTATGTTTTTCTCCATCTCCAGTTGACTCTACTCATGATTCATTTCATGATGTTGTGCAGGTTGTGGCACAGACAGTTCTAGATTTGCACAGAGTACAATTTAATGGGGAATCTTTCTGGCAGAAGCATGTCAGAGACAAGAGGAAGACCTAGTTGATCTCTTTTTGCTCTCCATCAGTGCATGTTCCTCACACCTGAACAGAAAAATCATGGCCAGAAAATATGTATGAGGAGACATGTCTGGATCTGTATTCCACCACAGTACCTGGGATTCACAGGAGCACATCGCAGCCCTGTGGTTACAAATATGAGCACAATTTCTGCGTTGGGACATACTTCCAGTACCACCCTCATGCCAAGCACCTTGACTCACTTCTCCATCACACATGCTGGGCAACAACAGGGGGCACCTATGTCCTCATGGTTGGTGGCTCTTGTACTTCCCTTTGCCATCAGTACAACTTGGCTCCTTCTGATCAGAATACAAAAGGTACATTTGCAGGCAACATCACAATATCTGTAACAGGAGGCCCTAGTGTGTCCACTTACCAAAGAGTCCCTGCTAACTAAGCTGGGCTCCTGGTGACAGTCAAGCCATAATGGAAATAGCAGTGAACCAAAGAGCACATGGGACCTAATTTGCAGCCCAGCTCTTCCTCTCCCTGCTGTGGTCATGTTCTGTCTGATAAAGCTACAACCTGAATTCTAAGACCTAGATCAACTTGACACCATTGTTTTCACTTCTCCTGGACTTTACCTATTGTGACGTGGGGAAGCATATACCAATCTTTAGGGAAAAAAAACTACACATAGTGACACAAAGAACAAAAAATATATTAATTCAAGGGAGACATCCCAGGTCTTGCTAAGTGGCACAGTCATTGGAGCCCTCTCCTTCCTATGAGGAAATCTGAAAAAAATCACAAATATTTTGTGAGGTGGGCCTGAACTTCCCCAGGAGAGACTAGGAGAATTTGCAGAAGTTCTCCACCACAAACTAGAATTTCATTGCATAATCATCACAAATTTTATGCCAATTTTTTGTTGCAAAAAGTGGTATGTGACCATTATGAGAAGATTTTTATGAGATGAAGATGGTGAAGAGGAGGAGGAAGAAAAGGAGGAGGAGCAGGAGAAGGAAAGTAGAGATGGAGGAGGAGGACAAGGATATTAGTGGAGGCATAAGCACACTGATGAGCTGTGGTGCACAGTTATAGCCTTAACCCAATCAATGAATTTATCCCCAATGGGATTAACTGAGTAGTAGTTCCAGTGATAATTGGAAGCAGGCACTGGAGGCTAGAGGAGGGGCATTGGAGGCATGGCTTTGGGATATATATATTTGTATCTGGCAAGTAGAGGTCTCTCTGGGCTTCCTGATCTTCATTGGAGCTGTTTCCCTCTGCCACAGTCTTCCACCATGATGCCTTGCACCAACTCAAACCCTGTGGAATGGAGCCTGCTATCTATGGTTGAGACCTCTAAAACCATGATCCCATAAATAACACCTTCCTCCTCTGCAGTTTTTCTGGTTGGGTCTTTTAATTTCAGCAGTGAGAAAGCTAAATAAATACCCCATCATTCAGAACTATCATCAATCTACTTTCCCTCAAAAGAAGTGTTATCAAACTGGGTGAGCTGGAGCAGGCCTGGAATTCCAATGACTCAGGAGATTGAGGCATAAGGATCACCATATTAAAGCAAGATTCAACAACTGAGTAAGATCCTGTCTCAAAATAAAAAAAAAATGACTGAGAATATGACTCAGTTGTTAAGTTCCCCTGGGCTCATTCCGTAGGTTCATTGCCCCACCACAAACAAAATGTTTTCAATTCACTGCTAGAGATCTTGAGCTAAGGAGCAGAGAATATGAGGAAACTTACCCTTAACAAAAGTCCTGTTGGATGTGAATTCCCAGAAAAAAGAACACATCAATATCAGATGACTAAGGGAGAAAAGCTCTCACTTTTTGCCATGATGTTTTCTTGCATGGAATGAGAAAAAATGGGATGGGTGAACATAGTCACCATTATTGGTGTTCATTGCATTATAAATATTTATTTTATCAATCCCTCATGCTGCAAAAATATATTTGTATCTTGAAATCATCTTTAGGATTACACAATAATAGATTGTAAAACTAAGTGAAATGAACCTGGATTATTTCCCTTTGTTTAACTTCAAAGAATATGAACTCCTAATATAATTCAGAGTAGACATGAATTTTATAAGAAAAATATAAAGCAAGAGTAAAGTGCTCATCTGAACTCTTTTGGTATTAGGTCTAACAAAATATCCCTAAATCCAGGAACAAAGAAAATTAAAGGATGAAATCTGGCTCAAGGCTCTGCACTGTCACCTCATTTTGCTATGATAAAATGGAAGTGGAAGCTTGGTCCTTCCTCCTTGCACTTCCAGCATGTCCAGAACACACCTATGCAGAAT